ATGATGCCCATTTAACAAAAGAACTACTCATATGTCAGTAACCGCCATCTTGTATATCTTTTTGACATTTTTTTTTATGTTTGTATGCATAGTTAATTGGTTAGTAAGACTTTCAAAGTAACTTTTTGTTCCAAACGATCTTGGACACCCTGTATATGGGCGCACGTGAATGAAAAAGCTACAATCTTTTTATTAGAAACAAACAGCAATCTGCAACCACAAAAAAGATGACGGCTTGACCAATATACGCCAAAGCAAACATAATGGTGACTCTTACCCCTGTTTATAAAGCTCCTCCTCTTCGAGAAGATATCCCAGTGAAGAAACTGCTGGTGGAAGTTCAACGTCGTTCTTCGGGCGGGGTAATTCCCCTTTCACTAGTGGATGCCTATAGATGTAACCAGTACGGAAACCTGCATTATCCAACATTCGCATGAGCGCCTCGAACTCTACGCCGCCAATGCGCCATTTTCGTTCAACTTTTTCTTCCAGAATCGACGGTTGGTCTAATCTGGGTGTACTCTGTGGAGGTTTTCTAGCTGCATCGTACAATTTTTTCCTAGCCTCGTCTGGCAGTAATGACAAATTATCTACACCGATACTAATCAATTTGAGCTGCGTTTCACATGCCAGGACGGTATTACGAACATTAAAAAATGCTTCTTCTATTGTCTCGCCACAACATACGGCACCTTGATTTGTCAATAATAGCACCTTATTAATCGGTCCCAAATTTCTGGCAACTTTCTCTTTTTCTTCGGGCTCGTTTAATCCCCCAATGTATTGATGTGAACTTACTTCGCCAATTACTACAGATTCCTGACTAATGGGCAATAAACCACATTTTAGTGCCGATACTGCTACAACTGAGGGTGTGTGAATGTGAATGATGCATTTGATATCTGGTCGGGCAGCGTGAATGGCACCGTGTAATGAAAACCCGGACAGATTAACTCCAAAATTGGTCGTTCCTTGTTCTACAATTGTTCCTTGCATATCAACTTTAACCAAGCTGGATGCTGTTACTTCGTGAAATAAAACGCCGAAAGGATTAACTAAGAAGTGCTCTTCGTCTTGATTTAATCTGGCAGTAATTTGAGAATTGACACCTTGCGCCCAACCGTACAAATCGATTAATCGAAAAACAGCCGCTAATTTACACCTTAAGATTTTTTCACCTTTCGCATAACCCATCGCTTCGACGCCTCTTATATCATTAATAGGTATCACGCAATTCGAATTTTTAAACACACTTCCGGCATTTTTCGAAACGCCCATCATATCTGATATCTGTTGCATCAAATTGGTAGTTCCGATGCCTTCCTTAAGCTGTGTTTCGATAATTCGTTCCAATTCCTCGCGAAACAATCTACTATTCATTATCGCCTCGACTCGTTTCCTACGTTCCATTTCTCGTACATCTGCATCTATATCGGCCGGTCTTAACTTATTTCGTTCGTCTTCTTCTAATCCATCTATACCATTTGATTGAGGTATTTCGCCGTGATCCACGTCTGCCATTGTGAATTGATCTGAAACAAAACGTTTCATTAGTAAGTCTTCAAGATTTCAAACCAATTATACTTGCTATTATCATATCACAAATAATGTATCTTGGTGCACATGGTGCATTGATCTTTAATTTACGCAGGGCTATAGGTTGACATTTTGCAACAGAAACCAAAGGTAACTAGAACACTTTCTAGTAACAAAATATATAAATCCGTAATGAAAATTGCTAATGATTTCAAATGAGTTTATTTTTAAATTATATGGACATTTTGAAATGACCTCGTAATAAAATCGTAATTGCAGACACTCAATTTTAATATGCCAGACAGGCATTTGTATAAAAAAAAAGCAGATTAGTGGTAGATGTGAGGTCATTAAAAAAATTACTTATTCTCGAATTACAGAAGTAAATTATTATGTCCTTGTTTAACTTAGATGAAATGAGTGATGTGAAAATCTACCCTTTCCAGTTTAACAGGAAACGAACCCATTTTGTTCAAACTTCCCTTGGGTCACCGTCATCATCACTAAACGAGTCACTAAATAAGAAAGCGAGTAAGAAAGTATTAACTTATAAAAAGCATTATCGAAATTACTGCATTCAATATAGACCATATCTGTACTAACAGACTGGCTTTCCTTTAATTACCATCTTTGTCTTCAAGTTTGTAGCAGAGGTGTTGAACATTTCGTCCCACTACTTGACGTATGGCAAACAGTTGTATTTTTAAATATTTTTCCCGGCACTTTGAAATTTAACTCTGAAGCAACCTATATACAGGGTGTCCCGCGAGAAATGGGACAAAATTTTCCTATGTGTACCTTGGGTGAATTCGAGTCCGCACATTTTTCGTTTGCTAGATATGATTTTTTTCATTTGATAATATTAATGGGACGTAATCGTAAACCACCATAATGTCGGAAAATGATTTTATTTAACGAAAAATTAATACTAGTTATGAAAATAAATGTTTGCCCAGCATCAAATCTACACATTTACACGTAGTAAAACTTTGGTCCTTTCTTCGCGAGACACCCTGAATAGTATAGACATTTGGTGGATTGTATAGACCAAAGTAAAACAGTTTCCCTCTCTCTCTCTAATGAAAGAAAAGTTTCCCTCTCTCTCTCTAATGAAAGAAAAGACAAAAACATAATCTCAATAATACAATCACAATCTGTGATATCATTGAATAATAAATCTGAATTATTATTCAATGGTGATATTAAGAGTCTTCTTTACCTAAGCGCAACTTTTTTACATTATAGTGAATAGATGATTTGATTATAGTTGCAAGAAACAAGATGATACTCTTGTTTAGTCAACTCCTATTTCGGTCCTTAGTTAGTTCCCGTCGACACTGTGCAGCGGCGCTTACCCTCAAATTATTGATTTACCGCCCGCCAAGATACAGACTTTATTTACAAAAAAAATGTGATTTAATATTTTGGGGTAATGTTTAGAAGTAACTTATCTAGAAAACTGTCGGTTTACTTTTTCCATAAACCGTTTTGTTCCAGAGTAAAAAAATAAAACAGATTAGCGCAATAATCGATGCAAAACATCTAATCTTTAAACAATTGGTATTCAGTTGCTATAAACTTTTTTAAAAAAAATAGCCCGAACATTTTGTAGATAAAGGTCTGAATTTATAAAATAGTTCTTTAAAAAAATTTTTTTTAAAAACAACTTTAGTTTTTATGGCGGGCGCTCTTATGGAAATTTACTTTGGGTGCAGTGGGTACAGAAGACTCTTAAGCTCAAATTATGATCTGTTAAAATGAACCTACCTTTTGCATCCTAACAGAAACAACTTGTAAATCAACATATGCATGATGAAAGCGCATTTTTTGTAATACAAATCAGTAGGTATTTGATTAGCTAAGTTTAAATTCTTCGATCTTATGAGTAATCTAACTCAAAATGGACCAGAGCCTGCACATCTACACTACAGTCAAAAGCTTTTAGTGAAAATGCTGAGATATTAGCCAGAGAGCCAGCCAGCCAGAGCCATAACGAATTATTATTATATTCGTTATGGCTGGCTGGTATTTTTTTTTCAAAAATGCGCTAAAAAATTACCTAGAGCAAAAAATTCATCACAATACATTGTTTATTTCAAATATTCAGAGCGGGAACAAGAGTTTACACACATACCACTAGCTAACAATATTTCACAACATGGTACGTGAATCTCAGGGTACACTAAAGTTGTGTAAACATCACTCGCATCACGTAAAGAGCAGCGTTTATAGCAACCGTGTACTACTGGAAGCTTTAAGTACTCTTCATTATCTTCTATACGTGCACAAATAAGAACCGGTCGAGGAACCGGTTTGCTTTTTTGTGGCATATTTAAGCAATTAATTGAATGACTGTTCTTAATTTACATCTCAAATCGTGTCTCATCGGGCAGACTCGTTTCACCGGGCCATTCACAGCACCAACGAAATCCGTTCTCATACATTTTTAAAGCACATGATAAGTATTACTATACAACGCGGGAATACCCACCAGCGATATGGGTACTTTTCTACCAGGATTATATTTTATACATTTTAAATTTCCTTTATATTTTACGATACAATGTTTGCTTTAAAACGAAATGTTAATTTGGAATAAAAAATATAAAAAAGCATAATTATACAGTGAGTTTTTTTTAAAGACTGGCCATAGGGTTTTACATGTTAATTTTTCAACTCTCTGTTACCTTTTTTGTGAAAATTACGAAGCCTAGCGCTGTTATTTAATTCAATATTAACGTTTTCTAATTATTTACTTCATTTTGTGGAGTAATACTCCATGTAAAGCGAAATTTTGGAATGAAAATAACCTTAATGTTAGATCAAAATTACAAATGACAGTAAAATTGAACCAAACGAAATTAGAAAACATCTGTTTTGCTAATTTTTTCCATATTTGTGGATATTAAATTGGAATTATTTCAATACTTTATGAGCTCCTGTAGCTTTATTACAAAACTGGGCTGAATATTTTCCTGAAGACAATACTTAACAGGGAGCTGAAAAATTAGCATGTAAAATCCTATGGCCCCTCTTTAAAAAAACTCACTGTATGTATGCAACTTTAAGAAATAAAATATTTTTTTATATTTGCACTTCACTCTTACTTGTGGACAATCGCGAGGTTAAATAAAAAATGTTCCTCGTATATATTTCATGGAATTTAAATAGAATGACCAACCCCCTTTATTGACATGTTTGATACAGATTAATACCTCGATTAATACATTACTAACATTTCAATTGGATAGCGCTTTTCAGTGAAAAGCAGGCGAACAGATATGTTTTGCTTACCAAAATTTCAAATCATTATTTATATATTTATTATTATTTATAAATATTTATTATTAATTATTTATTAATTAATATGTATAAATATTTAATTTTAGCACTTCTCAGTAAAAAGTTTATTGAGGAATGGAGAAACGAAGGATTCGTAATAGCTTCTATTACCTACTGTTTGGGAAATTGTGCTAGAAAGAAATCACACATGCGCAGAATCGCCTAAAATTTCCCTCTGTTATGGTGTTGCAGGGTGTAAGGTGTTCCATGATTACAATACGTTCATACTTAATACAATTATCACAACCTTTGTAATTTCTTAATCGCAAATGTTATCACGTTTATCAAATTACAAACTATTCTGATTATTTTGTTAACAAACGTTGAGATTGTAAAAAATTTCAAATATCTATAATAACTTTATTTTCAATTTACATCTTTAATGTAAGTCAAAGTAGAGTCATAACTTCATAAGGGATACTGATATTTCATGATCGTCGTCGGGGGCGACGCTGTCTATCGTATATCATGTAGGGGGCTAAAGTTTGGTCGTTTAAGGAAGTGACAATACCAAACGTGAAACCCTCACTTTTAGCATTGTGAACCAGAGAAATCCAAAATCTAGAACTAAACTAAATTGTAGCCAACTAATAAAATCAAATTGGACACGTCGATCAGTGGGTTTTTCCGAATCGCACCAAGGTTGCAACATTACACAAAATCTCCGTAAATTTCCCATCATTTTGTTAAGGTAGAAGACATGGTGTGATGCAAATCAATCTAAAATGCTATTGGCACAAAAACTAAATCTGACGTAGAGAAAGCAACATACTTCTTGCCCAGAACACCCACTGCAGAAAGGACAATAATCACAGAAGACATATTTTATTAAACACAAATACATTTTACTGTCATTTGTACGTGTATGCGTTGCATACTAACACAGTCTCATTAGACAAGCTAGTTATTAACATTTACAGACATCACGTCTATAAAAAGAACACATAGTAGTTTACACGCAAACATTGTTTAATCACTTATACAATCTTTAGACTAACACTAAATGAACATTTACATTGCGTAGCTATACATATTAGCATTAAAGATGCGAGCTCGTGCCAGCAAGGAATGCACTAATAAAAATATTTCATTATACCAATTACCATTCCAGATCCGCTGCAAGAAGTTAATTATGTTAATTGCAACTGCAAATTAATTATCAATTTGAATTCATTATTAACAGGTTTTTTACATAGTTTACGTAGTCGTCAGATGATTATGTTTGAAATTATGAATTTTAAAAATAAAACAAATTGGCGTGCTTTATCACATGATTAACAGAAAATCATATGACGAAAGAGTAATAACCATAAAAGAGAAAAAGAATTTTGCACACATTACTTACAGGCGCGCAAAAATTATCATGAAATTTAATATGATATGCGTTGTGGTGAATAGTGAAATAGCATAGTTTATGCTCCGTCATGTAGATAATTTCATTTCAATAACAACGTTTTATCACTATCACATCGTATAAAAAGTAAAGTTAGAAACGAAAGGAAGCAA